ACTTCATAGCTATAGCTCTATGGCTGCCTGCTTGTCTCCTTAACTCATCTCTTGGGCTGGAGAAGGCCTTTGCTCAGTACAAGTTCAGGACAACACATCCCAAGAATAAAAACCAGGAAAAGATGCTTGGAGAGGTGAGCAATAAAAGTGATGTACAGGATTCTTCTGCTGCCTGGAATCCCAGCCTCTCAAATTTGGCAGCTGAAGGGTTTCCTGAAATAAAAGTTATGTCTGGATCACCACTCTCAGCCCTGGGAGCTTATCCCTATGTGTCTACCTTATCTAACTCATATTAAATAAATTTTAACTTCTGGCTTCTATCTTACCCTCTGGAAACATACTTCACAATTTAATTATATCTACATGAAAATGTACATCCTTTTGACGTTTTGAAGCTGCTTCCTGATTATCTCAATCTTAATTTTCAACAATGAGAAACCCAGATCTTCAGGTCATTCATGATTTTACAAATTCCTCTGCATTAACTGTGTCTTTTCCTAATGCATTCCCAGATTTTTTGCATACTTACATGCATTTTCAGCTGAAACAAGGCTGTGTACTCAAGTAGTAGTCACTGAAGCCTTAAAAAATGAAAAGCCCGTTTTCAGTGCTAGATATGAAAGTCCATGAGTGTTGGTCAGTTTTTAAGAAGCACCTTTTAGAAGCACAGGAACAGGCAATCCCATTGTGTCAGGGCAGAAGACCAGCTTGGCTGAACAGGGAACTCCTTGTGGAGCTCAAAAGGAAAAAGAAATTGTACAGTCTCTGGAAGCAAGGTCAGGCTTCGCAGGAAGATTACAGAGCTGTGGTTTGCATATGCAGGGAGAAAGCATGAAAGGCCAAAGCTCAATTAGAGTTGAAACTGGCCAGTGTTGTGTCAGACAACAAGAAGGGCTTTTTTAAGTACATTAATAGCAAGAGGAGGTCTGAAGAAAATATTGGACCAATACTTGTAGAAGATGGTCACCTGACTAATAAAGGTGAAGAAAAAGTGGAGATGTTCAATGTTTTTTTTGCCTCAGTCTTTAATAATACTGATAGACCTTGGGCTGCCCGGTACCCTGAGTTGGAGAACCATGACTGCAGGAACACTGATTTTCCGTTTGTGGACACTGAAATTGTAAGGGACCAGCTGTATCAGCTGAATGTTCACAAGTCCATGGGGCCTGATGAGATTCACCCCAGAGTACTGAAGGAGTTAGCAGATGTTATGGCAGGACCCCTCTCTATCATCTACCAAAGATCTTGGGAGTCTGGGGAGGTCCCTGCTGACTGGAAGCTAGC